CGCTATTTGTCTGATCCGTCGCCTAGGACCTGTTTGCCTTGGGAGACCCTACCAGGGGCGTTAAGCCCCCGACAACATAGCTCCTAGGTTCATTCGGATACTCAAACCCCTCCACCACGTTAAGGTTGCGATTCAAGGAGAGGTATATATATATATACACACACACTACGGGTCAAAAGTTTTAGAACACCCGAATTTTTCCAGTTATTTATTGCAATTCAAAAGGCACTCAGAAACTGGGGGAAACTCTGACAGGCAGCAGTCTGGCAGAGCCAAAGCCACAATTAAATCAGAGGACAAGTTTCTAAGAGTTAACAGCTTGCGTGATAGGCGAACAGCTTCAAGCACAGCTTAATAGTGGTTGTAGTAAGCAAGTCTCAGTTTCAACTATGAAGAGAAGACTTCGAGCTGCAGATTTAACAGGATGAGTTGCAGCAAGAAAGCAATTGCTAAGATGTCAGAATAAGACAAAAAGGATCTCCTGAGCCACAAAACACCGTCATTGGACTATTGAAGACTGGAAGATGGTGTTATGGACTGATGAATCAAAATTTCAAATCTTCGGTTCATCACGCAGGATCTTTGTACGTCGTCGAGTAGGCGAGAGGATGGTTCCCCATCGAGCTGGTTTGGGATTAACTGGACAGAAGAGTGAAAGCCAAGCAACCTACAAGTGCCACACAGTTATGGGAACTTCTGCAACAGACTTGGGAAAAACTTCCTGAAGAGTATTTGATTTCTATTGTAGAAAGAATGCCACGAGTGTGTTTAGCTGTTATATCTGCCAAAGGTGGCTATTCCAAAGGTTAGAATACATTTTGGTCTATAAATTGATTCCATGATTTCTTTTTCAACTCAAATGTATATGTATATGTATATGTATATGTATATGTATATGTATATGTATATGTATATGTATATGTATATGTATATGTATATGTATATGTATATGTATATGTATATGTATATGTATATGTATATGTATATGTATATGTATATGTATATGTATATGTATATGTATATGTATATGTATATGTATATGTATATGTATATGTATATGTATATGTATATGTATATGTATATGTATATGTATATGTATATGTATATGTATATGTATATGTAATTGATTGAGGTATATGATTTAAATGTGTTTATTTCAATGTTTATATTTCAATGTTTTACAATGTTTTAAAATAACTGTAGAAATGTGAAGACAACACTGAGGTAAAAATCTTCAGGTACACTTTGACTCTGTATCCTTCTATTGTCAGTCTCATCCTGAAAAAGAGGGCAGTAGCTGTGAGTGTTTATTGTGAAATGAAGCAGGTGAATATACATCACACACACTTGCAGTGTCTTTCTAAAATTGTGAGGTCACATTTCCCCATTTTGGCTAAACTAATTTTAACTATCTCAATAGTTTCAGACCAAGGCCCGACCACAAAAAATTGGCAAAACTAATTAAACTAATTATTGTTATTATTATGGGCCAAAAGATGAAGTAACTTTTCATTCTGATGCACTTATGGCTAACGCTCAGTGCTCTTTTTCTAGTCTCATCCAAA